TTATTCTATTACACATATACATGGCCATAAATTCTTGACCAGGAATTAGTAAACATGAGTTTATTGAAATCTAGTAGCACTTCATTTTTTCAGTTTTACCCAAGTTTTCTTAAAAATGTTTTACCAAAGTTTCTTCAAAATAACTCTTGTAGCAGTTAAACATTGTCAAAAAGCAAAAATTATTTAATTAAAATAGAAGGTAAGTCTCCAGGTTGTATATGTGATTGACAAAGGGGTATAACTCAGTGGTAGTTAGGTAGCTTTCCTAACATGTGTGAGGCCCTGGGTTCAATCTCAAGCAAAACACACACACACACACACACACACACACAATTAGTGGAAAAGAAAAAGAAAATATGACAGACTCCCTGTTTCCTAGTAGTCACTGGAACACTCTATTAACAGCAATTTCCACACAAAATTAAAAAATCAACACTAGGCCCTGAAGCATTTTTGAATCACAGAATAAAGGTTAAATTGGAATCAGCATAATTTTATTGCATTGTAATAAAACTCCATCAACTCAACATGTTGCTGGATACTTCATACAGGTGGGAATACTTTCACATTATTCTTTTTTTTTTTTTCAGATATTTCTCAGTTTTATTATAATATACTGTCAACTTATGGACAAAGGAAATATGACGATTTTCCTTAAAAGCATTATTTTCTTCACTTCTAAATAATGGGATAATTTAGCAAGATCATTTGGAAGTTTATTTATTAAAATATCAATAATGAATTGTTCCATTTTAGTTTAGAACACACTAAAACAAGTTGTTCCTAATACATTTTCTCTATTTGTTGTGACTGGTACTTTTTGTAACTTATTTAACAGAAAAATACTTTCAAATAGAGGAAATTAAGAGGTATTACAAAAGAGTTGTGGAAACCATGGATAAAGCAATAAAACAACAGAGGTAAATAAATTCCTATCATTACCAGGATTTTCAAACAGTGAAACTCACATAAAGAGTCACTGGAAAGAAATGTAATGAAGTGATAATCAGTATCATCATCAAATTCCAATGTACTTTCTGTATCTCCCTCTAGAGTATACTATTATATGCACCCAAATACTAAAAATCGAATAATAATGAAACATTTTCAAAATACTGAAACCAAGTTTACTGATAACAGGATACAAGGCAGCACTGTAAGTTTATCAAACAAATGATCAGTGCTCACCAATTTCAGCATACCACATCAGAAAAGGAAAGCATGAACATTTAATTACAGAAGAACTCAGTCACTTCTGATGCCAAGAGGCAGTGTCCGTGACAGGTACACCTCACTGTCTAGGGCAGAGCTAGGAAGCATAGTGTGGTTAAAATTTACTATAGTATCACTTAAAATGTTTCCATTTATTTCTGAAATGTTAGTTCATGTCATGCTATTCTCTCTCTATGAACAAAAATCTATCTCATTATTAGCCATTGGTCTAAAATTAATAATGGCTTAAATAACTGAAAATCAAACAATTCCTCTAAGTACAGTAACATTGCATTTTCAGCTAAAACTAAATAATTAAATACACCTGGTTTTGTCAAAGCCTTTTACTGTCCACAGTTAACTTAGGAGTTCAGGTATTTCCCATTTAATACAGGAATTGGGTGATTGAAAAAACATTCTGTTTCCTAGCTTAAGCACAGCATTCACAGAATATGGTACTCAAGTACTGTTTGGGAAGTTATTACCAAAAATGTTTTACCAGCTGTCCTGAATATGAATCACTATACCAAGTAGCACTTTCCTTTGAAGAAAACCAAGTGGCAACTCAGTTTTACAATGAAAAGATCTGGGTAAAGAAGGAAAGACAGTAGATAGTAAAATGAATAATATAATCACTGTTATTTACAACATTGCAAAAAATATATATATCGGAAGTTACGTACCTTAGGAAAAATAGGAGGATGGGCCAAAAACAAAGCACAGACATGCTAGTTTTTTTGTTTTTGTTTTAAACAAGAAAATATCTGTATAATAACAAGGTACAGTGAACAAATGACACTTCATGTTTAATTACTCATTATTACTATATACTGAGTTTACTTCAGTATAAATCAAAATTGCAAGAAAATGGCCCAAATGAACAGAAGACTTCTAGCAACTAACAAATTGTACTCATATTCAATAAGCACCATTTACCTCTAAGTAGTTTTACACAGTTTCCAACACTCTGATTTAAATGGAAACTTCCTCTGTGAAAGAATAAGATAATTTGGATATTATTACCAATGCATAGTGTGGGTATAAATTAGGTGATAAATCCAACTATTCTTGAATTTTAAAAAAGTTTCATGCTTTGTTCAAATGTAGCTTACTGTTGAGAAAATTCCCATCTTCCACTCTCCAAGTCAGTACATAAAAGTAGATAGTATTTACATTGAATTTACAGTATTTTTCACTTAAAGGAATAACCCTATGTCTTTCTATAATATCTAAATGATTGCCCTTAAACTTCACCATACCCTTACTTAGAAACACAGCCATGAGTCAAATAAGCTTTGAAAAGAATTCTTCCATTTTCATTAACTCATTGAAAATGAAATCTAATATATACTGCAGATATGCTAAGGTGGTCCTCATCATTTTGGGGCTACATTCTAGTGGGTAAAAACTGAAATAATCCAAAACCTATATATTATGCAGCAGTTAACAACATGACTTTTCAATGTTTCTTTTATCACCAAAAATCAGTTATAGAAACAATTGTTTATATTTCAATCTTAAACATGGCTCTTAAAACAATATATAATATGATTTGTAACTAAATCTGCAAAACATATGAAGACTATAGTTAGTCTACTATTTCTCTGGTAGAGTCAGACAAAACAATTTTTCTGTTTTAAACATTCTGGCAAACAGAAAAAAAAAAGATGGATCAAAGTAGTATGTCAAATTGGCAATAAATCCATTATGGACAAAAAGTGGCACTAAAGTGAAATTTAAAAACATATTGCTTTCTATATATGCACATGTAACCTTATTTGAAGATGAGTACTTACAAAGATTCTTCTAGAAAGCTATAAACCAACTTGATAATCCAGGCTTTTAATTTCCATAATATTTAGTGTTCAGTAGTTTCAGCTGAATATTTAAATATCCAACATAATTTTATGTCCCACTTATACTATTCAGTGCTTGCATACAGACTGCAAATATTATAAGAGACATTATAGACTAACACTTATAGTATTTTCCAGAATAATAACTTTGATTTTGAATAAAAACTGGAGCATTTGAGCTTACCCCTCCCCCCGCCTCCTTTTCCCTAAATTCTTCATTCTAAGAAGTCATTAGAGATTGAATTTAAAATAAAAATAACAACTTTGTAAATGTTAACAAAAAGGGGTTGTTTTAAACAGATTTCAGTAAAAATTTCTATATACAAACATTAATAATCAAGTAGCATCGACAGTGACAAACACTAAACTTTCTTTAAAATCCCAGGAGCTTCAATTGTAGCAGCTGCAGCACACAGCCTTATGATAGACATAGGCTAAATTATTAAGACTGAGAATATGGGACAAGGTAAACAAGGAAAAGTGAACTTAAGCCGGTACAGTTCAAAAAGTAAAGTTTACAAGTAAGCTATATCAGAAAATCAACTGCCAGAATATAAACAATTAATTACCACAGCTATAATAAATCTCTTAAGAATGGAAGACAACAAAGTAATTCTTATCACAATATACCAGTAGTAGAAAACAAATTAATTATTCACAGTCTAAGAGGCTTTCCTTGGGGGAGTACATGAGGGGAGGGTGCAAAAGCTTACACAATTGAAAATGTGAAATAAATTCAAACTAAGATTTTATGAAAAAAATTTAAGAATGTTTCCCTTGAGGGAAAATAATTTTCTACAACTACTAAAAAAAAGCACCTATGAAACTGTGCTCTTGGCTGACACAATGGAGGTTTTGGATTCTTTGCAGCAATTGCAGCATAACAAATGGCATTTTTCACAGCATAACTTGAGGGAAAATGTTATCTAGTTTGAAATCATACAGAAATCAATTAAAAATTATTTTAATTATTCATAATACACAAATTTTTCTGGGTAGCAGCAGTTGCTCCTGTACTTGCCCTTTTAGAAAGTATGAAACAGAAGCAATAGAGTAGGGAAACAAACTAAAGGAAAATAAGAGCAGCAGAGTTAAATTAAAAAGCAAATACTTAAATACATTAAAGAGAGCTTAAAATAAGGAAACAGTATTGTGCAACTCTCAATTAAACTAAGTAAAGTGCACTGCCTAAATATTTACTGATAACATTTTCCCTATGTTGAAAATGCAAAATCTACTTATTGTTGATATATATATATATATATATATATATATATATATATATATATATTTTTTTATATTTTTTTTAAAGAAATTCACTATTGTAGCCCTGATAGCTCTCTTCCAGTATTTTTAACCATTCAGATATATTTTGGGGGAATATTTATTCACATAATTTTGCTTAATACATTATTTTTTCTACACAAGGCTCAATTTAAAAGTCTCTAACATTTTCAATAAGAGTAATAACACATTAATAAATTATAAATTAACAAAATCTTTGTATTTGCTTTAAAAAATCATTTATCAAATGTTAACTTCCAGATTATCTGGAAAATTAAAGGTGTGAATTGCTATAAACCTGACATCCCAATTTTAAATCCTGATGTTTAAAGGTATATAAAATACCCCTCAAATTATTCCAACTTCCACTTCAGAAATTTCTGTTTTACTCTTTTTCATAAATTTTAAGCTTATGCTCTGCTACACATTTTACCCAAATGTGGGAAAACTGCCTGGAGATGCAAAGTACAATAAAATAATCACACGAAAAAAGAAAAAAAAAATACCCGTTAAAACAAAAGTTATTATAGCTGGCAGCACTTAAAATGAATAATTTATATTATTTTAAAAGTTGCATAGCTGCAAGATGATTGCTGATTAAATGTTGAGCAGTTTTATTTAAGAGGAAATATATTTTATAAACTACAATTCAGTAGACAATTTCTACATTTATTTAATTAAAATGTAATTATGTAACTTGATTTATTCTTTGGGCAGCATTCTGATAATATTTAAACCTTTAATTTAAAAACAAACATATTTTAGTTTTCCTATGTAGAAATTAGTTTTCCACACTTGGGGGAAAAAATGGAAGAACTTGAGATCATGGTCTACATTCAGAGAATGTTTTACTGCTTGATTACATTTCTTGGTTTCACATTTAAGACTTTATGAGAAGTAACTTATATGGTTTTTCAATTTAAGAATAAGTGAATGCAAAAACATTATGTTGGGGGAAATAAAAGAGACCCCAAATTGAAGAAACAAAACAAATCAAAACACAGCTAGTTGCGCAGCTCTAGAGAACTGAATAAAAAGTAAATCAACTTTTAAATCAGTTAACTTTGGCGTCTGAATACAAAATGTTCATCAGTATTACCTATGTAGATGACTATTAAGGGATGTGCAGCATTTTCAAAATCCCTGTGTGTCCCTTATATGCAAGTTTGGTACACTGAGTTCTGTGGTTACTGTCCTCTCTTCAGCAGGATGTTTTTTCTTTTTTCTTGTGTGATTGTCCATCTCTGTATTACCAAGTCTCACAGAACTCAGATTTCTGGCTGAGTAAGCCTGCATTTTTGTTTTTCCAGAGACAGATCCTCAAATCCTCTAGATTTTTCAAGCATCCTATAAAACAGGAATCTGATGCTTAATCTGAAGGGTGCTGAGGACAAGATCTATTTACTTCAAACCATTCATCTATGCAGCTTTTATGATATATGCATAGGCAAGGCAGTCGTGCTATAGTATCTCCCTGCTGCAATTCTTCAAGACATATTGCACATTCCCCAGCATCTTTACTCAGTACATCCTCATTATAGGTTATTCTTGGCTTTGTTAAACACGTCACAAGGTGCAAATCCATTTCATCAGAGGGTACAAATTTTGAGCATACAGGGCACCTAAATCCTCCAAACATGTGCGGCGAGAGGTGAGCTGGGAGGGAGCCGATCACCAGGCGCGGCCCGCCGGGGCCCCTGCCCGGCGGCCGGTCCCTGCCGCCGCCGCCGCCGCCGCCGCCGCCGTCGTCCTCCGGGCTGCTGTGCACCGAGTCCTGCGAGCCGTACGGACCGCTGCTGCTGTTGGGGATGCTGAAGGAGGACTGCGCGGCTCGGGCCCCCGACGCCACGCTCCCCACGGCCCCGCCGAGGGAGCGGCTGTGCAGGGCTGCCGAGGCCGCCGCTGCGCCGCCGGAAGCTCTGGGCTGATGTGCACTAGGCACCTGAGCCGGAAACCTGCCCGCGGCCGCCTCCCGAGCCCCGCCGCCGCTGCCCGCGGTCTCATTGGCCCCTCCGCTGCTGCTGGAAGGTAGATCCGAGCCTGAGTACGCACGGGTACGGCCGTTAGCGGCGGCCGGGCCGCTCTGCTTGGCGCCCATGTCCGCCCTGCCCCGGGCCGGGCCCGAGCGTAGGGCCCCGCACTTTCACATTATTCTATTCTTTCCTAAAATGAAGTGTGTGCAGATAGAATATTTTTAATAATGAATATGCCTCCAAGATAATGTTTGTGTTCAATGGAAGTAGTAGCTTATAGACATTGTTATATGATTAAATCAAAGTGACCCATTTTAAAACTTGTAAAAACAAGTCTCTGAGGAATATTTTAGAACTGAGATTTAAGGATATTATTTTCCTTTGATAAAATTGCTTATATATACACGTATAAACTTCATAAGATTGCTATACAGGGTCAAGTCTCTGGGGACTACATCACGTTTAGTGCAGCAGATGCAATTACATGGACAAGATGGACAGCTGGTGTATTGAATCACAAGAGAGACTAGCAAAAATGGATCTGAGTGGACTGACACATGCCATGTGAAAACATAATTTCTATACTGTGGAAAGCAACATCAACACAGTAGTATTTTCAAGTAAAGTGAGAAAATATAATTTGGGCTTCTCTATAGAAAAGTGTATTTGTAATAGCAAAATATAACAAAGTGATGCTTAATAATTTAACAATAGAAGGAGAGAGGATAATAGATGAAAAATAGGTATACTGGGGTTCTCATTATATTCACTGTACCTTAATTACTTTCTAACATTTTTCATGAAGTCTTTCAGCCATTAATCTACCATTAAAAATTCCTCATTTTATTGACTATGATTCAATGACAATTTGCTTTTTTCCATGTCAAAGTCAATAAGATAATACAGTTCTTACATTGTATCATGTGCCACAAATTAGTTTTAAAAATATCCAACCCCACCATCTGTGGGTAATGTGTCCTGGTGACCCATAATGTTTAATAAAAATGTGAGGAGGAGGAGGAGGGGGAGGGGGGGAGAAGAAGAAGAAGAAGGTCTAAACTGGGTCCTAAGAGAGAAGTGGGAGCTGGCCAGGCACAGCATGGTGTGTGAGGGAGTCAAAGCTGATCTGATCTGGATATGGGTGTGGAGAGGGATGTGGGAAGGATAGTAGTGGTAGGAGTCCAGCCTACAGGGTCATACCAAGCAGAGAGCAGATCACACAGGGCCTTCAAGCCACTGTCAATAAGTGTGAACTTGATTTACCTTGAGGTCACAAGGACACTAAAAGTGCTGTTAAGAGGACTTATGGTGATGAGAAACTGATGTGACTCCATTTTTGAGAAACCAGCCTCTACCTCAGAGCAAAGCCTGTGTCCAAGGAAGGGGGCATGACCCTTGTCCTTGGAAAAACCCACAGAGTACTTCTAGGCACATATCTGCCCTGCTGAGTTGTTTATCTACAAATAATAGGAGAGATCTGCAGCACCAGGTGTCCCTGACACCTCAGTCAGGCTAGGTGAGGACCCATAGCAACTCCCTAGCAACCACCAATCAGCATGAGACAGGGAAAATACCTGGGATGCCAGATAACCCCCCAGTAGTTTATAGTGGTTGATAACATGGGAAACCATGTAGTTTAGCATATACACCCCTCATGGCTTAAACCAATCAAACAAATCCCCCTCTTGTACTAACCAATCACCCTTACCCATCTTGTTCCCGCCAGTGAATGTGCTAATCAATGTTAAGAGTTGTTGTTTGATTTTCCCGCGGTGTGTGATGATTTGCTAAGAGATGCTATGATGTATGTAAAGTCCCTGTCTTCCCCAAAGAATGTATAAAACTGCTGCAAACCCTGGGCTTGGGGCCTCTCAGCATCACCAGTTGCTGTGTGCGTGGAGGACCAAGCTAGCTCGCAATAAACACCTCTTTGCTGCTTGCCGCAGTCTGGCTGGGCACAATCAGGAGCCACTTGTCAAAAGAAACTAACTTTATTTTTAGAACCACACACGACAAACAAAATAGTCTCTCAGGAAAAACCCTCAGAGCCTCAACTGCCACCACCGGCTTTCCCCAAGCCTCTCTCTCCCCCACAAGCTTCTCTCCACCTCCCACAATCCTCCTGCTCTTGAGGCCGATTGGCTGGGTCATGTGGGCGGAGCCAAAAAGTCCCCCAATGAGCAGCTCCGTGGTCTGAAAGGGCAGGGAAACAGTCCAATGAGCATCACCGCAGAGGAGCCAATCAGCTAGATGTTGCTGGGGCCCAGGAGCCAATCAGCTAGATGTTGCTGGGGCCGCTGTGAGCCAATCATCAGCCAGCAGCTGGAAGTTTGCTGGCAGCTGGAAGTTTGCTGGGGCCCCTTTGGCTGTGGCTCTCAACATCTCCCCCTCTCTGTTTAAACAACAAGCATGTGGCTTAGGGACCGTGCCTGTTAGGCAGTCCAATTCAACATATGGTCCTTACCCGTCATCGGATGAACTGACCTCTAGGCGTCAGCCTCCTGTCTTAGGTTGGTACCACTGCAATTGGATCATACCCGTCACTGACTACCGGTCCAGCATACAGCCATACTTGTGGATAGGCCTTTGCACCTGTGGGGGGGTGAGGTTCTTTGCCTCACCTCTGTTGGCCCCCAAATTTTAGACCATCACTAGTAGAGGAGGATGCAAAATGCCATGACATTAAGCCAATTGAGGGCTCCTAAATTGTACCACCGGTGACACCATCAGCAAAAATACTCCAGCACTACCACAATTCGCTGTACCAACAGATAGTTCACAATGCATACAGGTGAGCTCACAATGTGTCCAGGCAAGTTCTGCAAGCAGTTCAGTGATGGCTATTGTAGAAGCTGTAGATTGGTTTTATCTTTGACTTCACTAGCACTGGGATGAAGATAGGAATTCTGGCAATAATGGCTAAAGAAAAAATTATGTAACATTACAGAAGGCACTAAAAGAAAACAATTTTCTTAACAATTTACATTGTCTTCACCGGCACTGGGATGAAGATAGGAATTCTGGCAATAATGGCTAAAGAAAAAATTATGCAACATTACAGAAGGCACTAAAAGAAAACAATTTTCTTAACAATTTACATTGTCTTCACCGGCACTGGGATGAAGATAGGAATTCTGGCAATAATGGCTAAAGAAAAAAATTATGTAACATTACAGAAGGCACTAAAAGAAAACAATTTTCTTAACAATTTACATTATCTTTAAGAGAATTATTAAATATAATGAAAAGGAAAGGTAAAAGTAAACAAACAGATCTGTTAACCTTCTTTTTTGTTTACATATTAAAACAATCCTCAACAGTTGTTTACCCAATTTAAATTAAACCATATAAATCACGAGAAAAAAAAATATTTGGATCCATTTTATCATGAGCGCTCATCATATATGATATATGGACATACGTACATTCAAACATATAACACAAAACACAAGTGTGCACACATAATATAATACATACAACACATAACATTATAGTAAAGGCCTTATAACTTTTTACAGGTGAAATCTCCATTGCAATGTTTAAAAACTCTATAGTCAAAAAATAGAACTGATCAGCAAAACATTAACCTAGGTCTGTATGAGCTCAAAAAACAAAATAGAACTTCATGATATGGCAAAGGGCAATAATAAAATAGATATTGAAAAAAGCATCCTGGTTCTCTTGCAGATGTAAGAATAGCCAAACTGGAGTTTTGGATATCAGTTGTTATGGATTTGAGCCAAATCATCTTCTTTTTGGTCTGTAGAAATCGATTTAGTTAATCTTTCTGGAATCCAAATCGGCTGCTGTTCTCCCTGTGGAAACACATAAACAGACCCCCGACTCCAGACAATCACTGGGTCAGGACCTTGGTTAATCTCTCTGGAATCCAAATTGGCTGCTGTTCTCCCTGTGGAAACACACAAACAGACCCCCGACTCCAGACAATTACTGGGTCAGGACCTTTCCATTGTCCTGTTAGAATATCCTTCCAAAGTACCTTGGGCTTATGTACATTTTTTGGACACATATGCCTTTCCGCAGCACTAAGTCCTGATGAATCCAAATTTAAAAAGTTTAGAGTAAAAAGGGTTATTTTAAGTTTATCTTTGGGGAATATATACCCCTTCCCAATTCCTTCTTTTTGCTTTAATAAGTACATTTTAATAGTTTGATGAGCTCTTTCAACTATGCCTTGTCCCTGTGGATTGTATGGGATTCCTGTTATATGAGTAATGCCAAATGTTGAGCAAAATTGTTTAAAAGAGGTAGAAGTATAACCAGGGGCATTATCTGTTTTTAACTGTTTTGGAACACCCACAGTGGCAAAATTTTGTAAGCAATGAGCTATAACATCTTTAGTTTTTTCTCCGGCATGAAGGGAGCCCATCAAAAATCCAGAAGAAGTATCAACTGTAACATGCAAATATTTTAATTTTCCAAATTCTGGCAAGTGTGTGACGTCCATCTGCCAAATATGGTTAGGTATCAATCCTTTAGGATTGACTCCAAGATTAACTTGTGGTAAAAAGGTCACACAAGTTTGACATTGTTTTATTATTTGTCTAGCTTGTTCCTTAGTTATTTTAAAACGCTTTTGTAAAGTATTAGCATTGACATGGAACTTTTTATGAAAATTTATAGCTTCTTCTAGTGTAGAGAAAATATGTATGTCATGTGTAGTTTTATCTGCTAAATCATTGCCCAAACTAAGGGCTCCAGGCAATCCTGTATGTGCCCTGATATGTCCTATAAAGAATGGATCTTTTCTGTCCCAGATTAGACTTTGTATAGTGGAAAGCAAAGAGAAAACAGTAGAAGAAGGGGAAATCCTACCAGCATCTTCAAGAGATACTATAGCATTAACTACATACTGACTATCAGAAAATAAATTAAATACAGAATCTTTAAACATCACAAAAGCTTGTAAAACTGCATTAAGCTCTACCTTTTGAGCTGATTGTTTGGGCACTAAAAATGTAAAAGTTTGATCAGGGGTAACTACTGCTGCTGTACCATTATTTGACCCATCAGTGAATATATTTGGAGCATTTATGATAGGTGTTTTTCTTGTCATTTTTGGAAAAATTACAGGATGCAATGACCAAAAAGACAATAAAGGATTAGATGGTAAGTGGTTATCAAATGAAACATTAGAT